TGAAGATTTCATGTTCTTGGGCTTCCTTGGATTCATCACGGGTTTGGAGTTCTAGAGGGTTATAGCTCAATTCAATGTGATATTTGTGATCTACATGAAAAATGGCACAAGATTGGTTCAAGAATCTTTGCATTTGGTGAAGAAATGAAGGAGATAGGGTTTGGAAGGGATGATCGGTGTAGTTCCGACCAACACGGACGATCACACTGTATTTTTCCCTCTCAATCCATTTCAAACAAAGAAGAAATGCAGCAACCGTTGGATCACGCTGCCAACCTTGACTTTGTACACGGATCGTACGCACACCGTGCTGCCACGCCACCCAAACACCAAAACGCACAAGATAACTTAAAAGATTCAGATGGGCTTAATTTCCGTTTTCTATTCACACCCCATACACGGGCCCAACCCAGCTTTGCACTACCTGGCTTTGCTATTCAGCACACGGTTCTTTTTATTTGGCAATTGTTTTCTTCATTTTTCATCCTTTCTTGCTGTTTACTTTTAACACATGAAAAATAGAAATAATGCTCATTAAATATTGAGTTTATTACCTGATATTCTTTTACATCTTAGGAAATTTTAGAAATAAAAAAATTGATTTTAGGATTTATTTTGATTTAGTTATGATTTTTCCTATTTTAATAGCCATTAAAATTGTGAAATTGTATCTTTATTCTTTTAGATTTTCATTGAGGTATCAAAACCAAATATTTTTGCCTAATCTTTTGTGACATTCTTGTATACATCTTGAAGGATTTAGATATAATTTTCTATAGATTTTATACTATCATTTGTATAGGTTTTGAACACCATCTTTAGGCGTGCTCTAGATTGCTTGGTTTTGAGATACCTTTGGATTTTTACTCTCTTTTTGAACACTTCCTTTTGGATTATTGTTATACCCTTTGAACCACTGATTACTAATACTTTTCAGGTATTTGGAGATTTTATTTGGCATTTTTAGATGCATTTTACTATTTTTGCCTTATTTTGCAAGTTGGCTCATAATTTGGCACTTTCACTTGTACACTTGTATTGTTTTAGCTCCAAAAGCCTTGTATTGCTTGTGTGATGGATATTATGGTGATTGCTTCTTATTGTGGACATATTATAGGTATTGTGTACCATTTGGTGGCTGTTTATATTGTGCATAGCTTGCCTATTTGATGCTTTACTTTCATGCTTGTACATTGTGATTCCATATGGTGGTTTATGTACTCTCATTGTAGGTTTCTCTTGATTCCTTACCATTTTATCCTTGATATTAATTTGTGACATAGATTGTATGATTAGAATATGCTACCCTCTGTCCCATGACCTTGGTGTGTCACTTAAGGAAGTTTTGGGTCCCTCCTTTGGAGGTCTCTAAGGCATGCCTAAAGTGGTGAATCCTTGAGGACTTCCTTTTGTATGATTTTTATGGTTTGCCCTTGTTGCATTTCCTTATCCTATTCTCTTGCATTATTTTCATAATTGGCTTGAGGTTGAGATGGGCTTGTGGAGGCTCCTGCCCCACACTATTTTCCTCCCTCACTTGCATTGCATCTCTGCTTTCTATACTTGCATTTCATGTATGCATTCTTACAATTGTTTTCTTCTTTTTTCTTTTGTCTTCCTTCCCTTAGGATTTCCATTCTTTCTTGTTCAAGATAGAATATGATAGACATTAGGCCTTTAACCATGCATGACAACAATAAGTATTTCCCTCCTAACCTTGACCATAGGATGAACTTTGCATGACAACTTTAGGATTGGACTAGTTTCCCCTTAGTTGTGTTCTTTCTCTTCTCATCTTCAAACATTCTTAAAACACTTAATAAAGGATAACACGTGTTGTACGCTACGAGCCTTAAGCACTTGAGAAACGGTTGTTGGAGAGTTTCTTTTCAACAGCTTGGGTGTTTAGTATGGTACCCTTTGGGTGACATGCGGCGCATTCACTCTTAAGTCCAAGTCTTTAATGCGACACGAGTTACAAACGAAACTCAAAACACTTCTTTTGTAAAAGACACAAAAACAAACATCCAAATTCTTTTTTTCCTCTTGGATCTTTAATCCTTAGAAACCATTTTCATAAGGAGAGTTTCGTTAACTCTCGGTTCTCTCGCAAACGGTAACGCCTAAGTCTCCAAAGGTCGAGCTGCATACAACAACTGCTAGAACCGTTTGTTAACCCTACTCGGGTTAAAACATAATGAACCAAACTGGTGGTCTTGTTTAGCCCGAACTACGTTTGCTCTGATCTTTCATGCCATATGAAAGTACGTAGGCACAAGATGCGATATCTCTGCAAGCAAATTCCCCCGTAGTTAGGCGAACTACGTTGACTCTGATTTCTCATTTCAGACGGGAATACGTAGGTATAGAACTGCTGTGTTCTGCCGAGTCACTTTTCTTCTCTTTTGTCCTTAAGCCTTTAGCTAGATAGTATTAATCAATCCTTCGAGATAAACAATTAAGCGTGGATTCTGACGAGTATGACGGACGTGAGGGATGCTAATACCTTCCCCTTGCGTAACCGACTCCCGAATCCAGGACTTGGTTGCGATGACCATTCCTTTCCTTTTTCGTTAGGTTTTCTCTGAGCGTTTCCTTTTCCTCCTTTGGGATAAATAACGCACGGTGGCGACTCTTCTGTCATTATCGGCCTCGTTTTTCGCAGTAGCGACAATGTTGTTTTAGTGTTGCATCTGGTGGAGCAATTGTCACTCCATGCTTAACCAACTCTTAATATTCTATGGATCAAATAAGATTCTCCATGAGCATAACCCGACGATTGTAGAATCCATTGAACTTGGAAATTACAGGAGTTGCAAACTTTGAAGAGTTCGACACGTGAAAAGCTTGAATGATGCAACACGAGAAAGATGAAGATAACCGAAATACCGAAAATTCCCTCCTTTAATAAAAAAAAACTCCGTTTTATGGTTGAAAGCAAAAACAAGACCCTTTGGAGGGGCTCCTAATACCACTTGTTAGTGCAAATGGAAAACTATAATTATTATTGCCAATCATGGGTCCTTATATATAGGAGTGATGTATTACTTACAGAACAATAACTATCATTAGTTAGATAACTATCTATTAACTAACACAAAGTTAGTTTCCAACGAACCAATGCAAGCACTCTCTAAAAGCTCCATGTGATTCCTGTTAAAAGTGGTCAGTTCGTTGTATTCGTTCAACTATATGCCATATTCGAAAACTGATGTAAAAAGTTTATGTCATTTTAGAGTATCCACATCAATGATACTCCCTCCATTTTAAAATAATTGTCGTTTTTAAAAACATAATTTATTTCAAAATGAATGTCATTCTTATTTTTTAATGTAGAAATGATTGTTATTTTTTTAATTATGTTATTTAATTATTATTCTCTACACTATTTCCAACATATTAATAAGGTTAATTTAATAAAAGTATAATATTTTATAATAATATTATTACATTTCTTAATTCATTTGCAAAAACGTTAAACAACCGTCCGTCTTTTTAAACCAGAGGGAGTATCAATTTTGGTGACATCTTATTCAATTTTTTAAATATTAATTTTAACTTTTGTTGTTTTACTACGGTTGTATTGCATCACATGACACCATTCGTAAGCTTTAATTAGGAGTGGACAAACTATATCGATCCGACTGGAAAATTGAAAAAACAAATATCCATTACTACTTCGAGTGGATCGGTTTGGGTATCGGGTGACAGAATTGCAATAAATCAGTTTAAGGCGAGTATTTTCGATCAGGTTCAGTTTGGAAAACTACACCCCGAATTCGTCCAAAATGTATGTAGTCAGTGTTAATGTTTATAGTTGTATTCTACTTTCTAGCATAACAATAATATTTACCGGTGTAATTTACCATTTATAGCCTTCTATTATTGTGATTTATTATTGTGATTGATCCAATAAAATCTTTTGTTGATTCTTACTCTCTCACCCTTTGTTGCGTACTACGTTTTCTCTTTCACTCTCTTTGTCTTGTTTTTTTCTTCTTTATCTTCTTGCTTTGAATTTCTTCTTTTACAACCGTCATCTTTTTACTTCTCCAATCTTCTTTCACAACCATTTTAATTTGTTTCAATTAAAAATAGTTATTCTACTTTATTGGAGTTGTGGTTGTTCTATTATTTTTTTCATATTAATGCTTGTTGTTGTTATTTTGATGGGTTATTTATTGATTATTTTAGTTTCTTTTGAATTTTTTTTCTCTCAAGAGTTCAAATTTTTGATCGATTCTAAACCGTTTGAAACCATCCACTCAAACCAAAATCTGATTAAACCGTAATCCGACGTAACCGAGAACTAGAACGGACAGAAATGATTTTTGTTCTTCTACCTATAGTTTTCTTTAGATGAAAAATTTATAATCTGAAACCGACCTCATCCAACCGATGTCTAGCCCTAACTTTAACCAAGAAAATAACAATAAATTAATGTGAGTACACTCTTCCATTGATAACTGTAAAATTATTATATATATATATATATATATATATATATATATATATATATATATATATATATATATATATATATATATATATATATATATATAAAATCATGCGAGGAGTAAATTGATATTAAGAGTATAATAGTATATTAGTGTCTTGAGAATATTCTACATCTTGTCTTGAGTTGAGAGTAACCCTTTAACACATTTAACATATTATTGCTTCTTATTTCGTCCCTATTAGCCATAGATGTTGAAAACGAGCTTATTGTTGGATTGATTTCTCTAATATTTGAAAAGTTAGAATACCGATAATCTATTTTAATGTTTTTTCAGATTTTTTATTTGAGAAAAAAAAAAAAAGATATGCAAAAAATGAAGCATTATCTAACAAAAGGTAAAACAAAAAGTAGCACTAGAATATAAAGTGACATTACACTACACAACCTTTTAGATAATATGAAGATCCACTTTCATTTCATTCATCATACCCTCACAAAGTTTAAATTTCTTGCTTAATTCTCATATGGCCCTTCATTCACTTCATTCACTTGTTGAGTATCTTGAATTCCAATACTTTTCTATTTCTTCAGCTGTTCTTCCAGGAATTCTTCCAGCAATCAATGACCACCTATAACAAAAAAAAAATCATATTATTCCATCACCTTCGTAGTAATTATGTTGTGAAATTATTTGTTAAGTTTTTAAAAACTGTGTTTGTTAACTATATTACAAACAAATTATGATTTCTTGTTCAGGGCTAAACCATGATAAATATATTATGAAATCTTATTTAATTATAAGATCTTCAAAGACGGTTCTAACATCGGTATATTCTCGGGTGTTGACTCTCAAACAAATTTTAGTATAAAAAGTAGAAGTAAAAAGAAATTTAAGTGATACTAACCTCTCCCCAACGAGATTATAAACCATAGCAATAAGCATTTCCTCGTTTTCAGAAAATTCAACATTTGAACCTTGGCTAGATTGTTGATCTACAAAAACTACGAGTGACCGATCGTTTATATGAAATCAATAATCATGAATCATGATATATCAACTTATAGCTACAAAAAGGTATACCTGTAGAATCAGCTGAAACATTGTTAGAGGAGGTTTCTAAGTCAGCCATTAATGCAAGTAACAAGAATTAAAAGAAGATGAATGAACTAGGTTTGAATCTTGTGAATAGTATTAAGATTAATTTGCAGAATGAGGAAATGATTGAGTGGGATATTAATATATATAGGGGCAAGTTAAATGCTAATATAAAGTGCAACTAGAAAATTAGATTCTAGAAGGTTTCTAGAAATAGAAAAGTATTATGGAAGGGGTGTAGAAAGTAAAATAGAGAGAAGAAGGGTAGCTGAACACATGGTGTACAAATTTGGTCTAACTTTTGTTGGTAGTTGGACAATTAGTGTTAGTTGGATAAGTGGATATACTCACATTTATTTATTTATTTATTTATTCCATTTATCGACATGATCATGGTATATTGAAGTGTTGTAAGTAACTCTTGTCGTTAACCATCCAAGATAAATCGAGTTATTAGTAAATATTTTAGTGGAAGAAAACTCAACTTTAGTTTTAATAGGGTAAGTATAATATTTGACATCCACTAAACATATTAAAATAGGGGCGATAAATAGACATGCATGTACCTTTTATATTTATTGCGATAAATTTTTTAACAAAACAAGATTGACAAATATAATTAATTATGAAGATTTAAATTTTTGGTCTGTCTCAATATTTATTGTGATAAAAATTTTAACAAAACAAGATTGACAAATATAATTAATCATGTAGATTTAAATTTTTGGTCTGTCTCAAAAAAATAAGGGCGAGGCATAACGAGTATGAAAGTCTTGCATATCAAAAGACTAAAACTTATAAAAAAAAATAGTTAATGCTCACACCTGCAAAATTCACAAAAAAAAAATTTGAGAAGGACATGATTGATATATTAAAGGGTGTAAACCTAAAATTTTGTCATGTCATACGAAAAAATGTAGGAAAAATGGACGTGTTCGGCGAATTGACTCGTTTTGCCACCTCTACCTTAAAGTATCTCATTATTTAAGTTTTAATCGGCCAATTCAAAAGCTTTCTTTTAGGTGAGATATAAAATGATGTCGTTTTTCTAATTAAATTATGAAATAGAAGAGAAGTATAAAGTCAAATAGAAAGAGAAAAAGAAAGAGAAAGACAATTCAAAATAGAAACACGATTTTAGAAAATAGAAGACCCTAATCCTTCATCTCCGTCGTTGTCAATCTCTCTGTCACACTTTCTTCCTTTTGCTGCTGTCACTCCCTCCGTCTTTTGTTTAGTTAATTAGTTTTAGTTGAAGAATGTATTGAGAATAATATAATCAAGAAGAATGAAACTAATCTATATAATCTATATATCTTTTGATATGGATCAATATCGAAGTCGTAATTTGTTTTTCTCAGCTAAGGTAATTTTATTTTTCAATCAATGACAGTATTAACAATTAATTATAAATTTATAGCAATCCTAATTATTATATAGTTATTGTAATTTGTGTATTTAATTGCGCTTCACTTTCCCTTACTTATTTGATTGGTTGATCTCGTTATTAATAGTTTCATCTATTTTATATAAGTTAATTTTGAGTTGATAAGAAATGGAATAAAACCCATCTTTATATGGTTATGTTTTTTAATTGTAAATGAAGATGTTGTAATTTTCTAAAATATTTTTTAGGGACCCGATCATCTAGTTTAACAAGATTTAATAGTTATATAATTTTGTTATAGAGATAGGTTTATTCGACTTTTATCTGGTTCGGTCATGCAGTCTAATCAATGACCATGTGGCTCGACCAACGATCCCTTAAACCTTGACCTTACTTGATTGAGGAGCAGTCTGATTTTTAAAATATTAAATTCAAGTTTATATGTTAAATTATACATTGATTATAAATAAGCAACAATATTTAACCTACTCTTATCCTCATCATTTCAAATGAAGACTCGCATATCACTTATTTTGAAGAGTTTGAAAGAGTGTAAGAAACAATAAATTAATGTTTCATTTCTGTTTCAAACTAGAACCAGAATTGTGATTAGTTTGTGACGATGGACTCTTGGTATGGTGGTATGGATCTTCAATACGGAAGTGCGGGGGTGGAACTACTAGGTTAGCACTCAAACGCTAAAGTTAGTTACAAAGTCCAAAAAGAGTAAACTGTAAGTCTAAAAAGAGAGCTCGTACCTTATGTCTTACATATGCCTTTTATATATGATGGACAATTTTAGTGGGCTTTGCTTAATTGGGCTTAACTCTTGGATATCACTCGTATTGGGCCTTATGTCGGCCTAAAGTAGTTTCCCTAATGCTTTCCGACTATTTTTATGAGTCGAGGAGTCTTTCAAAGTCGGGGCCGACATCTCATCCTCAAGCCGACTATAAAGGGGTAACCTTCCTCAAGAAATAGAATATTTGAAGGAGTGGTATGGCCTTGCCACCTCAGAGGTGCTTCATCTTCAAGAAAGGTTGTAAGTTCTTCAACGGGAGTCGAATCAACTTTCTTACTTCAAAGAGGAAGTGGATCTGTACGGAACTCCAATGGAGTTAACTGGCATAGCGGTTGATTTTTCAGCCAACCTTGAGGAGGAAAAGAAAGCTTCTTACGAAGCAAAGTCCACTTCGAAATTTTTTTCCTCTGGCGTCGTGGCCACTGAAAATGAGCTGAAAGAAGAGGAAAATGCTTACTAATGTGAGGTGAAAGCCTTTCAGGAAAAGTTGGCTTGATTAGAGAAAAATTTACAATCTTGTTCAGCATGGGGCCTCAGAGATACCACTTTAAAGAATGTCGTGGACCAACTATAACTGCTCTATCCGAATTTTCATATTCCTTATAATGAAATGAGCTTTTGAAAAAAACATCAACAGAGTGCTTGTCGAGCAAAAGTGATATGGACTTTTGAAAGAATTTCTTTTGTAATTTAATATTATCTCTAGTCAGTTAATTAAAAAATATTTGATGTATTTATTTATCGTTTATTCATCTTTTGACTGTCGTCTTCTTAGTTAAAGCTCATCCCACTTATGGAACTCATTAGGTCATACATGTTAGTTGTATCGAGTTGCCATAGCTTGTTTGATAAGGATACTAGAGAAGGTGGTGTATGCCTTATTTTCCTCTTAGAAGTCAATTTCCTCCCTAAGTGCATAGTTGTTGTTTCCCTCTTTCAAAGGGTGCATCTTTCTCCATCGTAGTTCTTCAACCTCCACTAGAATGCGACATCAGTACCGTAAGTTAGATAAAAATGAGTTGCACATGTTGTTGAATATGGGTTGTTCTGTACTCCCACAAGATGTGTGGAAGTTCATCTGCCCAACTTTCATTGGTAACTTTGAGTCATTGCTTCAGTCCCCTTAAAAACATCCAGTTACTGACTTTGCTTGTCCGTTTGTCTAGGGATGTTCTATCGATGCAAAATGTTGTCTAAATTTCAATTCTTCTAACAAATTCTTTAAATTCTTATCCATTAAATTTGTTCCACTACCTATCACGATGGCTTGAGGAAATCCGAATCTAGGCAGAATATTCCTCAAAAAAATTTAGGATGTTTGCTGCATTGATATTTTCCAAAGCCCATGCTTCGACCAACTTTATAAAATAGTCAATTGTCACTATAAAATATTTAAGTTGACCCAGAGATATAGGAAATGGAATGAGGATGTCCATACCCCACTGAGAAAAGGGTCAGGGTGATGTCAACATGTGAAACTCTATTAATGAGGTGCTATAAATGTCTTTGTGCCATTAACATTGGTCACATTTATTCACATATTCCTTGGTGTCTTGGACCATGAAGGATCAATAGTATCCTGATTTTAAAACCTTTTTGGCCAATGCCCGAGCACCCCAATTGTTGCCCAACTACCCCCTCATGCACTTCTAAAAGGGCATAAGCAACCTCTTCTCCTTCTAGAAATTTTAATAAAGGGGTAGATAAGCCTCTTCTGCACAAAGTTATCTTAATAACGGTATACAAACTTTCTCTTATTTTCATCAAAGTAGCTTAATCTAAATTAAAAGGAAGAACCTCTTGTTCTTTGTATGTTATAATGAGAGATATCTAGAAGGATTCACCAGTACCGCCTATGAAGATCAACTCATCTCTTGGGGTCTTGGTGCTCAGATACTTTAGAGTATCTTGAATTAAAGAATGGTTGACCCCATACCTCATCATACTTGGCAGCTTAAAGAGCACATATGCTCGAGTATTTTCTTCCCGCAGAACATGCACGACCTTATACGTCTTGAACTTCATTAACTTCTCTTTGGCTATAATGGATCCTTAGCATGTTGAGAAAATACTATCTCATAATATGTCCTCAATTTAATGTTCTCTGCCACCAAGGTGAGCAAAATGATGTCTACTTCATTATCAACTTGATTGTTGGTGGAGGAGAATTCAAAGAGTAATGATACTTCGACCACAAGGCCGACTTACAACGTAAAGATAGAGGACGTTGTTGGATCAACTCCATTATCAAAATAGTGCTAACAACTTCTTTGGGCACTTTCACATAAAGATAAAAGACTTTGTTACAAATCAGTTGAGTAAGCATTGAAGGTGTAACTAATGTCGTTTTTAAAGACACAAAGGACTTTTCACATTTCGGTGTCCATTCGACTTGTGATTCCTTCCATAACAATCTATAGAATGGTAATTCGTGTTGGAATGATTTTGAGATGAACATGTTCAATGCGGTAAGCATCCCATTCAACTTCATAACCTACTTCTTTAAGGTGGCACATTCATTTATATGATCGCTTCACATTTTCCGAGGTTAGACTCTATCCCTCTATGTGTAAGGTAAAATCCTAGGAATTTACTGACTTTGACCCCAAAGGTACATTCTTTAGAACTTAGCCTCGTGTTGTATTTTTAAACCCTCTTGAATACTCGACTGAGGTGTTGGTCATATGACACTTTTTATTTGGACTTCACAGTCATGTCATCCATGTACACCTCGAACATATCGCCTATCTCCTATTGAAATAACTTGCTAATCATTGTTTGGTAGGTCATGCATGTGTCCTTCAATCTAAAAGGCATAACATTATATTGGTAATTGATTTTCCCG